AAAGATCATTCTATTTTAGGCTGAGTTTGTAATTTTATAACCTTTGTGCCAAACCCTGACACCACAGAGTATTTAGTAAATATAAAACTGACCAGTAAACCCAGGCAAAAATGTATGGGGACAATTTTGAGAAGATTTTTATCTTACCAAAAATGTTTAAACCAGATTATTTATTAAAGATTTACTTAAGTAATGTGGACTCAAGAGCCTTGGGGTTAATTATCGCATATTTTATATGAGCACCATTTATATAAGTCAATCTAAACAGAATTCCTTAAGGGATTTCTGGTTGACTATGTCAACCAGATTTTACCATGTAGACACAACATGACACTTGTATGTATGTGTAAACACACCTAAATATATATATATATATATATATATATATATATATATATATATATATACACACACACACACACACACAAGGATTTTATAGCTTACATTTTAGAATGTTAGTCATAAGACAATGAAACATACAAACTAACCAGTTAATAGAAACCTGTTGTGACCAGACACGGTGGCTCATGCCTATAATCCCAGCACTCTGGGAGGCCAAGGAGGGCAGATCTCCCGAGTTCATGAGTTTGATGCCACCTTGGGCAACACAGCAAAACCTCATCTCTACCAAAAATACAAAAAAACTAGCTGGGCGTGGTGGGGCAGGCCTGTATTACCAGCTACTCAGGAAGCTGAGATGGGAGGATCACTTGAGCTTGGGAAGTGGAGGTTCCAGTGAACCAAGATAATGCCACTGCACTCCAGGCTGGGTGACAGAGTGAGACCCCCAACTCAAAAATAAATAAACAATTAATTAATTTAATTAAAATAAATTTTGAAAACATAAAAAATAAAAGCCTATTGAATAAAAATTATATTTCTGACAAAATTGGTAACTGTTAGCATGGCTACACTTTATTTGCTTCTATCAGTAGTCTAATGAGGGCTACTGATAAAAGTTTTGAGTAAAACTTTTTATAGCAGTTTGATTTTTAACAACTCCTTTTAGCCTTTTTAAAAATTTTTCAGGTTTGAATAAATTTAGAGTTAAATTTTCAATGTTTACATTTAGCAATGACTGGTTGAATTATATAATAAAAACAAAATCTCCAAGTAGCCCTGACTGTATCTTTTGTTTGACAGTCTGTTTTTTTGAAGGGGAAGGAAAGCATCATAGCAGTTTTATAGCATTGAATTTTCCTTTTCTTTATTTTTTTCATCCCTGTATGTCAGACAGAGCAAAAATGTTATACCAGACTGAGATATATTATTGCTCTGAGTTCAAGATTTTGACCTGTTTAATCTGACCGCCTAAGTTTTGTAAACATTTACCTAGTCCTTTCTTTAGACTATTCATGTTTTAATTAACTGCTCCATCATTCTAATTGTTAGTTAGACAAACCGAAATTTACATTTCCAAAAAATTTCTAGGTTGTTGGTTACCCTGGAGCTTTTGTAATTTGTAAAGCCATTACTTTGAAAACCATTTAACACTTTTTTAAAAAAAATCTTGGCTGGAATACCATGAGCAGTGAACTTATCTCAATGCCAGTAGAAAAGTCTGAAGATCTGAAGCATATAGAATAAAATAGAGATAGAAACAGAACTTAGAATATTCTACATGTTAACTCTATATTGGCAGAGTGTTTTAGAGAGTTTGACTAATGACTATTTGGCTCTGAACTTTCCTTGATGGACTTTGCCCATCAGTTTAAAACGTGCACAGAAATGGGCTATAATATGTAGTTGGCTGGAATCCCAGAAAATCTGGCATGCCTTAATGTTTGAGAATCCCATGCATTTTCTTTTTAATCTCTCCAGAGCAAAGAAAATCCTGCAAACCTCCTGTCAGGAAAGGTCAGGAGTTTGGACAGGTGCTTTGGACAGAGGCGACTGCCCTAGTGGCTTTTGGTTAGCCATCCTGCATCCATGATTTAGAATGCTGATTTTCACAAGCACAGATTTTCAGAAACAAGGAAGAGAAAAGAGCCAAATCAATTACAGACACACAGAACCAAACCGAAATCAGTGTTGACAGAGATTTTACCACAGTGTGCAGATCAAACAAAATATTTAATTAGGCAAGCAGAACTAAAAGTGAATTTGCCAGAAAAGACATGCCTCACAAACAAATGTAACTTATGTAGAAACAAGGTGCTCAAATCAGAAAAACACTTGTCATTATACCAGAAAGAATTTATCAGAAAAGACAAAAAATGTAAGGTCTTTGGCTTACAGCGGCCTTATCCAAATCAGATGCTGAATAAGTGAAGAGCTTCTATTCAAAAGCAGAAGGCTCAGCCTGAGTGAAGACTCTCCAGGGCAGAAACGGCAAGTCACAGAAGCAGAGAGCTCCGGGGGCTCCAGGGAGGACTGCACCCCAGTTCCAAGAATCGGTGATTTCTTCCAATAGCGGTCCTACTCCTGGTCCTACTTCCGGAAACAACAGAGTTTCTCTCTAAAAGAAAATAGTATTTATTCAGGAACAGTGCCCTGCACTGGGAATACGTGTGTCATAGTAATGTGCATAGTCAGGGAGGTAAAAGAAGACCAAGGCTTTTAAAGGAGAAATGAAGCTTAGAGAATTGTTTTGAGATCATTACCCTTGCCTAAAAAGATCAATAATAGGGTGACACTGGCCCAAGGCTGGACAGGCAGTTCTGGGCACATGTTGCTGTGGAAGTCTATTTTGCGTTAAGTTTGCAGTGGCTTTAGTGGAAGGTTATGGTTTTAGCAAAGTCCTTTCTGATAGTTTTTGTTATCAGGCATATGGGATAAAACCCTCTCTTTGTAGCCTTTCTCAGCCCTATTGTCGTGGATTTTTTTTTTTTTTTAACACAAGTGACTCCATTTTAGCTCAGACAGTTTTCCTGTAAGGATGGAGAGCTAGAGAGAAGCATGATGGAAGAGCTTGCCCGGGGCCATACAGTTCACGTTGGAGGGCGGGAGAGCAGACCCAGGCGATCTGCCTGCCCTACGAGGGCCTTCTGCCCCACTGTGATGGCAGCTTTTGCGGAAGAGGGTACCCAGCCTGCCTCCGTGAGGTGAATTCATCTACCTTCTCTGTGGGCCTGTGGGTGTACTGGCTTCCCACCCTGGAGGTTCCCAGTCTACCTCTCCATACACAGGCCAACACCGATGTCTTACAGCAGGAAGCCCATGCCACAGCTTTGGGCACCTGTGTAGATGGCCATTCTGCTCCTGGTTGATAGTAAAAAGAAGCTTAATTTTTATAAAATTGAGAACAACCTTGAAACCTATTTTCACTGTTAGGAAGATATCTCTGGAAAATGTCCCTGGAGTGTGGGCCACCACTGAACACGCCTCTCCTCCGCCCCCCACTAGATGGCAGCGTGCCTTCCCTGGCCTCTGATGCCAGCCTGGAGGTGTAGGTCAGGGAGAGACTTCCCTCCCTCTGTCCTGCATGTGTCCCTGTGGGGCAGCAGGGGCAGAGCCTGGTTCTGGCTTCTGGAAGTGCCTGGATGCAATTTTTGTCAACCTAAATACCTAGCAGAGAGAGTCTCTGTAAACAGAAATACTATTTATTCAGGAACAGGGCATCGCAACAGGAAAACACATGCCAGAGTAAACTGTGTGCAAATTTAGGGAGGCTAAAAAACCCAAAAAACAGAGAAAGGTTTTTAAAGGAAAAATGAGGAGAATGACATAATGGTTTTGAAATCACTATCCTTGGCTGAACAGGTCAATACCACAGGTTCTGCCAGTCTCAGGTTGGCCAGGCAGTTGCTGGGCCCTGGGAAGCCTGGGCCCTGGTAGCTGAGCCCAGTGGGTACGGAGCTGGAGCAAAGCCAGCGGGCAGAGGCAGCCCGGCCCACGCCCTCCCGCACAGCTCGGGAGGCGTGAAAGAGTGTGGGCTCAGGAGTGAGAAGGTTCCATGTCTACATGTTACGGATCTCTCCTGAACCCTCCACACTCCCACACAAATGAATAAAACAATGCATAAATAAAAACTGGAAAACAAAATTACAGACTTAAAAACAAAAACGCAGTCCCCTCCTCAGGCTTCCCTGTCGTGGCAAATGGTGTCACTGTCCACCCGGTTGTTCTGACAACACTCAAATATCACCTTTGACTCCTCCCAGCCTCCTCGCCACACCCAGTCCACCAGCAAGAACTGTTGCCTCCATGTACAAAATATATCCTGGATCTCCTCAACCCGGACAGATTCGCTGCCCAAGAAATAAAACCCAGCCCCTCCCCAGGGCCCATGAGGCCCCGCCACCTGCCCTGGGTCACTTCTTTCCCTCCTTGACAAGGTCAGCGAGTCACTGCCCGGGGCGTTGGCACACGCCACTCTCAGCCACAAGCACTCTTACCTGGGATCTTAGTCCAGCTGGCTCCTGATCTTTTTAATCTCAGTTGAAATGTCACCTCTTCAGAGGGAATGTATTTTTCATGGAAGTTTTCAACAGTATGGAAAATAACAAGACTTGTGCAATGAACATGAAACAGTCATCACCTACTTTTAATAATTCTCAACCTGCCCCAACCTGCTTTCCTTGGTACCCTTACCACAGAGCATTTTGAAGCAAACCCCTGGCCTTGCATCATTTCACGTACAAATGTTTCAGTTCTTCTAGACCAGAAATTGTGTCTACAAGATAGAGAAGTCACCCATAATGAAGCGGCTGTCCCTTCCCCTCTTGTCACCTCACCTCCTCTGGTCATGGACATCGCAGCACGTTGCACTCTCTGTCAGCTCTTTTGTCCTGTTTTTATTTTGTTTTATGTGTCCCCTGCAATCTCTAAAGGTGAGTCCCTTTAGAGCAAGGACTCTGCCTGCCTGTTCCTGTTACACAGGAGAGCACTGCACAGTGCCTGAGTGTGCTGGGTGTTCACAGGGGTCTCTGCAAGAGGAAGGCAGAGCCCACATGCTGGTCCTGGGCCACAGGGTCAGCTCTGCATGCTGAGGACAGATGTGGGGAGGGACAGTGGGCAGACATGTGCATTGACATTCTTCTCACATCATTTTATTTTAGATGAACAGCCAATGCAGATCAACCCGAATTCCATGACTTGCCCTGGGCCAAAACTAGAAACACCTGGAGAGTAAGTACCCCTGGCAGGAGGCCTTAGTGGACAAAAGGCCAGGGGGTCAGGGTTGGGCACCATGAGGTGTACAGAATGTGGATGCCCCCTGCTGTGGCAGCAGGTGTCTCGAGCTGGGCAAAGAGCACCCTCTTCCCCACATTCCTTTTTGGTGGCCCCAAGATGTTGAGTGATCTGTGGTGTCCTAGGATCTGTGAGGAGGGAGGAGGAGGGAGATGATTGCCCAAAGAATGGTACCTTCGCTCCAGCTTGCCTTTCAGAGTTAAGCCAACAGACTGTAAAAGCCGGAATGGTGACACCAAGCAGACCTCCCTGGTCACTTAGGAAATGGTCACAGTGGCATGAGACCCCATGCGCGGCCACTCACTGCCTGACCCACCTCCCCCTTGGTCATCATTGCTGAGTTAACCTGCTAGTGACTGGGAGTGACCTCTCATCACCCGTGCTGTCCGCTGGCCAAGGGCAAGAACTGTATCTCTCCCGGCTGGCTCTCACCACCTGCATTTTTGGTGCTTTAGGAAGTTCTTAATTGAAGTCAGCTTGAACGACGGTGTCTCATTCTTCAAGAGCAACGTCAGCGTCACGGGCACCACATGTGTGAGTACCAGTGCAGGGCTGCAAACATGTATGAGGACTGTCTAGAGCTCCTGCGCCAGAAGGAGATGCACCCTGGGGAGGACAGAAAGGGCAGCCAGTTCCCAGGCAGTCCCAGAAAGCAGCGTGTGCAGCGGGAACCTGGTGCTGCGTCATCCTGGCTTCCAGCTGGCAGGTGGGTGAGGCTGGGAGGCTGTCCACCAGAAGCCAGAGTCCAGCGCCTCTAGTGTCCAGTTTCTCCACGCAGGCTTCCCAGGCCCAGGAGCTCGGGAGGATTCCACGAACTGCCGTCAGGGTGTGTGTGCCGCTGAACTGCTGCCCCAGCTGCTGATCTGGTCCTAAACCTGCTCATGTCCCTGGCCCCCAATCCTGCCTCATGGTCACCTGGTGTCATTGTCCAGATGCCTTCAGCCCCCTTTCTACCTCTCCTCCTTGCTTGAGCCATTGAGCTGTCCCTGTTTCTTCCTCGAGCTCTGCAGTATGTCCCTGCCTGCTGCAGAAGTGGAGACTCTCAGGCACTCAGACCGGGGCTCAGCTCCAAGAGTCCCCAGGGAATGGAGGTGCTGTGCCCCGGGTCCCGGCTCTTCAGAGATCCACGTCTTTGGGCAGCTTGGCCCAGGGCCACATAGGCAGGAGGATGCACTGGAGGGACGGGCGGGAGGCCTGAGCCCATCCCGCCGCCTCGTGCCCAGTCTCACCTGTGAGGACGCACCAGTGTTGAGGGTCCTCCCTCTGGGTCTACCCTTGCCGGTCCCTGCACATCCACACACAGATCAGCAGGCGGAACGCACACATGCCCATCAGTCATCCACTCACTGACGGCTCGATGGTGACAGGCACATCAGGAGCTGCCCTGGGGCTCCAGTCTCACCAGCGGCCTTCATGCTTGGCCTCAGTGGTTCCTCTCCTTCAGCCAGTCTGGTTCCCAGCACAGGCTCTCCCTCCTCCCCTCCCCTGCCGTACCTTCCCCATCAGCCTTCTCTCTAAGCAGAACTCTGGACTTTGGGAAGGCCTGGGCAGCCTGCGTTCCCACGGATGCTGCTCAAGGTCCCTTTACTGTGAGGACCCCCCAGAGAAGTGCTCCTTTTGCTACACCCCAACCCGGTTCTGAGCAGGACTTCCTCTGAGCTCTCTAAACCTCACAAGTGCCCCCAGGGAGGCTCATTCCCCTTGCACAGGCGTGGAGACTGAGGCTCAGACCCATGCATGGATGTGCCCACGGTGCAGAGCCTGGAAGTGGGGAGAGAGGCTGTGGGGGATGGACCTGGGTCTCCTGACCCCGCTCCTGTGCCTGCACCTCTCAGCCGCAGCACCCCCACCCTCGCCCGTCTTTATACCTGTAGATTTTGTGATCCTCACAGAAGCCCTGTGCTGCAGGCAAGGTGTGCAGTGAGGGTGGGTGCATCAGACCATGGAAGCTTCTGGGACTTTCTTTGCAGGGCTCCAGGGCAGACCTTTTCAGTAGGGCCAGAGGAAGCATCTGTAGCTCTCTGGGGCCCAGCCGTGGCCACTGGTCCCACTGTGGTATGCGGAAGCAAGGCCAGCTAGGGAGAGCAAGGAGTGGGCAGATGGGGCCCCAAGTGGATGGCACAGGGAAGAGGCCACCCAGGCCCTCCCAGGCCTGGCATCACTCTGTTTCTTGGGCATGGCTCATGGTGTTCTCTTTCTCCACCAGGGCTTTTTCAGCAACTGGATGTATTTTCTGCCGCTCCTGGGGCTGCCACTGCTGCTGTGTTGTCTCTGGCCGCTGTGCCGCAGGAAGGCAAGTGCTCTCTGCCCGCCCAGCCCTGGGACCCAGGCCCACGCCTGCCCTCCGAGGGACTCTGACATGTGACTGCCCCGTGATCCTACCTATGGGAAGTTTCCTTCAACTCCCGGCTCATCACATGAGCCTGGGAAGGCACAGACCTGTCCCCACGTTCCCAGAGCCTAGCAAGTCTGGGCTTATGCAGGACCTCCTGCCCCGGGCTGGCCACAGAGAGCTGGCCTGGGATGCCCTGGACGTGGAGCTGAGCCCTGCCCTGGCTGCCAGAGAAAAGTGACCCCGGAACCCCTGAAACCAGGACTGCCTCAACAAGCCAGACTTCCGGTAGCCTCAGATGGACAAGTGCCAGGAGGCGGCCTCTGTGTGGAGGGAGGAAGGGAGGGTCCCCCATGAGGTCCTGACGGCCCACATGGAGGACGGTGCTGTAAACCCCCAGATGTCTGTGCCTCGAGAAACCAACGTGGATCTCAGCACATGTCCGATGCCTTCCCCATTCCTCCATCTGTCTTTACTGAGCTCCAGCTTCCCCTAGGCCCCCTGCTGAGCTGGGGAGGAGCAGAAATGAAGCAGCCACTGTTCCCCACAGGGAGCTCACAGTCCTGTCTTGTCAGGGCTGAGGGTGAAATGTCCCCCACAGGAGTGGGAAGGGCCCCTGTAAGGCAGAACAGGAGCTAAAAGCAGACACAGAGCCTGGTGCAGGGAGAATGGAAGGGGTGCTGGGAGCTAGGTGGATGGACCCAGCCCAGAGAGCTGCAGACAGAGGACAGAGCAGCGGGAGGATAGGACAGAGCTCAGCCCAGGGAACACGCAGGGCTCATCTCTGCCCAGGGAGCTGCAAGCAGAGGAAGCTGGGGACTCGGCCGTGAGGCTGGGAGGTTAGGGAGGGCTCTCGGGAACAGACAGGCTCTCCCTGAAGAAGGGAAGTGGGGCAGGCACTCTCTTCTCCATGTGGCTGTAGGCAGAGAAGGACACCTGCAGGAGTTGGGGCTCTCTAGGGTCCTGGTCCCTGGCCTGGATGACCCCTAGGACCCCCACAGCGGCAGTACAGGCGTTCCCCTTGGGTAAGACTGGAGGCTGAGGCCCGGGAGGAGGAGCCTGCCGAATCCAACTTCACAGGCTCAGGGTGGCCAGAGTGACACTCCAAAGACAGTGTTCTGTTCTTCTGCTCCAGACCAGGGTCCCAGCTGTGCACAGGCCAAGGCAGAGCCCACTCACCCCCAGCCACCCCACATTTGTCTCTTTTGAACGTTCCAGACTGTCAAGGAGCCAGAACCTGTGCAGAAGCCGAAAGAGGTAAGTCATGGTTCTGGTCCAGATATTGTCACATCCCACACAGTCCACTGACCCTCACCGAGAGTGCCATGAAGCCTGCGGCCCATGATCTCCACCTGCTTGGGCAGAGAAGAAGGTGACAGAGGGGCAGAGTGGAGCCTGAGAAGGACGGGGACTCACAGTGATGTCCCCAGCACACCCTTCCCGCTCCCTGGACCCCTCAACCTGAGCCTGTCACCAATTCACAGCCTGGGGTGGCCAGATTCAGCAACCGTGATGATCTCTCCTGAATAAGTGGGGTGCTTCTGTCAATATCCCAAGAACCTGTTGTAAGATGCTAAGAATGGACACGCTCTGGAAAAGGACCTGTCCCCCTCCCCAGGTTCCAGACGTGGGTGTGGCTCCATTGGCCTCTCTGGATCCCTGTCTCTAGGCAGGGCGGAGGGGCTGGCTGGGGTTAGCTTCTCCGGACTGCAGGGCTGAGGGATGGGGGAGTTCTGGCAGACACCGGACCAGGAGAGACACCAGCCCAGTGAGCACAGGGACCTGGAGTCCAGGAGCAGGTTGTGGCTCACCTGGGTTGGAGAACCCCTGCCAGAGTCCATGGGCAGTGGTGAGCATCTGAGGCACGAGGCCCTGGGCCTGGGATGGGGTGGGAACAGGCCTCCCTGGCTAAGGCTGGCCTCTGCGGTGCTGCAGAGTGGGTCCGGGGAGGCTGCATCTGCAGCCAGCTAAGTGCGGGCAGTCACCTGCAAATGCTGGGACCACTGCACAGCTCCCAGAGCAGGCCTCTTTCAACAAGGACAGAGTTTGCGTGTTTCTCACATGAAGGACCCTCCCCTGTGGTGTGGGTTTCTCTCTGATCCTTTCATTCCTCAGACACACATCTGGCAGTGGCCAGCACTGTGCTCAGCCCGCACTGTCAACAGACAATTGTCTTTATTGTTTTAGGAGCCAGAGCCGGAGAAACCACCACCTCCACCTCCACCACCACCACCACCACCTCCGCCCCCGCCTCCGCCCCCGCCTCCGCCCCCGCCTCCACCCCCACCTCCTGGAAACACCTGCCCCACTGTGATTGTTTGCTGCTCTGGGTGCCAACAAATGTGCGGGATGAGAGGGATAAAGGTGAGAAGGGCACAGTGGAGAGGGGTTGTGACCCCCGGCTGGGACTGCGGGAGGAGGGGGCAGCTGGGTCCCCCTGCAGAGGCCTGGGCCCTGGAGAAAGGCAGGCTCTGTGGGGGCTGGATTTTGGTCACTTGATGCCAAGAGCAATCAGATGCCCACCTGTGGCCCACCCTAGTGCCCCTGTGGCAGACATGTATGAGGACTCCTGTCCCCTGCACCACAAGATCTGTCCCCGCACATCAAACTCCCTCTCTAGAAGGATCCGTGTTTCTGTACAGTGGCAGCTTTTGATGTCTGGCCAGCCCCTGGTTCCCACAGGGGTGCCTCAGCTCTGGAAGTGGTTTAATTATTAAACCACCTGCCTGCAGGTGCTTAGGTCTAGCAACCTGAGTCACAAAAGGTCACACAGATCAGAAAAAAAAAAAGAAATGACCAGTCCTGGCACACGTTCTCCCCATCACTAACACTGCAGAGATGCCAGAGGCACCTGCCAGCCCAGGCAGCGGGATCTTCAGGCAGTGAGGAAAAGCTGGCACTGAGTGAGCTTGGCGCCTGCTGAGATGGGCTCACAGGTGCTCCAGGGAGGGGAGGAGGTGGGGACCTGAACTACCTCACCAGACACCTGCACAGGAGCCACCCTCCATGAGAAGACCTCCTTCACGAGCGGGTCCAAGGCCCATGTTGCTGAAGGGAACCCAGCTGGGCAGCAGCAGAGGGCCCTGCACAGGGGTAGAGAGGGCACCTGGGTGGCTGGTGTTGAGAGAGAAGGACCCCAGAGTTCCTGCCTGGCTCTGCCGCTCCCCGCTTGGTCCTGGCCCCTCCCCCAGGGGAAGATGGGCGCTTACTCCTGGCAGTGTCAGGTTCCTCCACAGCTTCTGGGGCAGCCAGGCCTATTTCTCCCTGGGGTGTGGGGCACAGAGAAGCTGAAACACAGCCTCCAGGGGGAGGAAGTCACCTGCCAGCGGCCTGCACTGCCTTGCACTGCACAGCCCTCATCCCATACCCACCAGGGTCCAGAAAGGCCTGACTCCAGCGCCGAGTGGCCAAGGGGCTGCCCACGTGGGTCCTGGGCTGCTTTCTGGCCTGTTTTTTCTCTGCCTTCCTCTTCTTCCTTCCCTGGTCTCAGGCACCACTCCCTGAGCAGGGCACGGTCCTCTCACCTGCCTTCCCCCATGTGACCCAGCAGCAGGTCTCCTTCTTCCCTCCGTGAGCTCCTGCCCAGGCCCCCGTGCCCAGCTCACGCTCCCCTTCAGGACCTCCGCTCGGAACCCCAGTCTCCTCCCGCCTTTGGACTTTTCATCTGAATCTGCCCCTGGCTTTTCCACTTTCTTCACCAAAATACTGTTTTGTTCTAGATTCCAGAACTCTCTATGGGTACAGTGACCATGTCCCCAACACAGAAGGCTGCTGGGCCCCTGCCCCAGGGGGAGATGGGAGCTTTGTCTGGATGTGCTCCTGAGGACAGAGCTGTGGGGGACTCAGGGGTCCTGATGCCTCCCGGAGACGGTGCCAGGCTACATGGTTTCCTCATCACCACATTGCTTTTCAGGGCAATCTGGATACCTTTGGTGACCTCTGTCACCCAGACTGCAGTCAGGTGCCATGGATATGGTGTCAGCACAGGGACCAGGTGAGCTGGGGCACAGGGACACACTTGACGGACAGAGGCCACTACTTTTCCCCTGACTGCTGTCCTCTGGAATTGTGGCTCAGAGAGCCATATCAGGCATCTGCCAAGGAGAATAGCACAAGAAACACAGAAATGGTACCCATGGGCCTCCCCGCGTTTCTGGACATGGCACCCATACGCTTCCTTTGCTGGCACCTGGGGCCGGGAGTGCTGTTGGGGTGGCAGACAGGGTTGTCGGGCAACACTGACTGGTTCTCTGGAAGAAGGATTCCTTCCTTGGGTCACTGCCTTGGGACCATGGGGAGGACCAAACAGTTAAAATTTTCTCTTTGTAACTTATTATGAATGAGGACCAATAGTTATTAACGAGGACTCAGTAACGTACGGAGTCCTCCCAGGGGCCAGTTGCTAGCCGACGCCAGGCTTTCACTGTTTTCATCCTCCCAACAGCTGCACCAGTTGGTGCTATTATAACCAGTTTACTGAGGGGGAGCGAATCGCTGAGAGATTAAGTCCCAGGTCCCTGCTCCCAAAGCCCGTGAGTGACAGGGCTGGATGTGAACTGGGCATGGCTGCTGCGCTGATCCTGCACTGCCCTCCTTTCCCATCAGCACCAAGAGCCTTTCTGCTCAGGCCCTGGGGCCCGGGAGAGCCCTGCTCATCTGCCGGGGGCTCATCTGCCTGTACTTCCCACAGTGCAGCCCTTTGCACCTGGAAGACGATCTCATCCCCAGGGTTTATAGAGAGACCTGCACTGGCCAGACGTCCTGCATCAGGACGGCGCAGGCTCTCTGTGGCCAGGTGGCTGTGCACTGAGAAGACCTTGCAGGTTGTGAGCCTCTGGACGCCGCTGATGAGAAACGGGCCGGGAGCCCCGGGAGGCGTGCTGACACCTGGCAGGGCATTGTGGTGTCTGACGCAGGCAGGGCTCCTCCAGCCGCTGGGCTCCTGGCTCTGCGCCTCTGCACTGGGCTCTCAATCCCAGCCACGCTTACACAGAAGCCCATCCTCCAACCCAGGTCCCATAGGCCTCTCCACGTTGCCACAGCGCAGCTCCAGTCACACAGAACTAGTCCAACCTTGTGCACTGAACAGGCGAGACGCTCAGTCAGGCAGGAGGGACAGAACGTGATGGCAGAGTGTGAAAATGGGCACCTCAAGCGGAGGGAAAGCAAGAGACATGGGGGTAGGCACAGGAAAGAGCCAGAAATGGCCTTGCTGCCCAGTGTGGTGATGCAGGGATGGAGCAAGAATCTGAAATTGTCCCTTTCCTGAGGGCAGCTCTTTGAAGCTAAGGTTTTGGGGAGGGCGGCAGAGTAATTGCATGAGGGAGGGCACTTACCACTGCTCAGGGCTCCGCCAGGCCCTTGTGACTGTCAACACGTGAAGTCCACCCTGTAATTCTTGGAGGAGGAGAGACAATCCCTATTTTACTAATAGCAGAATAGAGGCTCAGAGTGGCCCAGAAAGCTGCCCGAGGCCACCTCCAGTGCTATCAGAAATCAACCCGGATCTTCCCTAACCCAGGGAGGCCCACAGCTATGCCGTGTAGACCTGGGCTCCCTTCCAGCCCCTCTGCCACCATCTAATTTTACCTTGTCCTTCCCAACTGTGATCCTGAAGACCCAACTGAGTGTCTTGTAAGATTTGTGTCGGGTACCCAAGAATTCAGACAGGCTAGCAGGAGTTCCCAGTTCTCCTCTTTGAGGCTTCAGTGTGCTGGACCCAGGATCTAATGTGAATCATGCACTGAAGAGGTGCACGAAATTGTCCCATTCCTGAGGACAGCTCTTTGAAGCTAACGCTGGGGGGAGAGTGGCAGAATAATTGCATTACAGAGGGTATTTACCACAGCTCAGGGTCCCCGCCAGGCCTTTGTGACTGTCATTGTGTGAAGTCCACCCTGCAGATCTCGGAGCAGGAGAAACAATCCCTATTTTTTGAATGAGGCCCGCCTGAGACATGCAACCAATTGCAGAGCTACAGGGTCAGCCTGTAAGCCTAGTCCTGGGTGTACAGAGCCAGACATCAGCCAGGCTGCTGGCGAGCCTGCAGCTTCCTGCTTGGAGACACTGGGAATGTGACCTTCCTGCCTGAGCCAGGGGCTCCCTAAGTGAGAATGAGGCCAGAGACTGGAGGAGACAGTGCATCTCAGTGGGAACCTACTGAAGACCAGGCTTGGGTAGCTCAGCCCCAGCCAGGCAGGCCAACTGCAGCTGCAGGGCTGTGGAGGCATCCGTGAGATGTCCTGCCCGGGCCAGGCACAGACTTCTGTCCCTTCACTGCAGAGTGAAGAGGTGACCTGGGAGCCGCATTGCCCTCTTCCAGGATCTCCCCTCAGACAGAGACTCACTCAGGCCTCAGCAGAGTGGGAGATCCTGAAAGAATCAGTGCAGGCCTCTTTCTCCATCCATGCCCTGGCCTTGCGGGGGTGCTATTTCCCACCTCTTCCTGACTTGACATTGCAGGCTGACCTGGGGTATGGATGAGCTCAGGAGGTTGATGAGCCTGTTCAAATGGAGTGTGCCGTTGAATTTAGAGGAGCTGCTGCCTTTTAAAATCTTGCTTACTTGCTCCTTTCAGCAAATCCAAACATTTTGCATTTCAGCACATGATAATACAGTAAATTCTCAAAGGCTAAGTTTATGAAAAATCTCAGCATTTTTGCAGCAAAAGCAGTGAGTCTTGTTTACTTTCAGTTTGTAAAATTGAGTGTGTCTCTCTGCTCCATCACCTTCAGTTCCCTGAATAAATTTGTTAATAGTATCCCCTTACAGGCCATCCCCCTACGCACTCACACAAAATGAAGCAGCAAGGCTCCAAGGCTCTTGAGCCAAACTCTCCCTCCAGTCCATGCTGAGGATTCTCCTTCGCCTTATCCTGTGGATGCTCATTACGTTCATGGGAAACAGTATTGCTAGATCCATCAGGAAAGAGAGGCTAATAATGTGAAACTTTCTCTCTCTCACCAAATGTAGTGCCCACAATGACGTAACAGCCTTTCCAGTGAGCTTAACTGTGTGCACAGCACAGCAGGAGGCCCTTTAGAAGCTGGATCTGCTTTCCTTCTCACAACACCCAGGAGGGCTCACAGCTGCCTTCACGTAGATGTTAACGTGGGCCAGAAACTGTTGCAAGTGCATTCCACAAACTAATATATGCCAACAGCTTTAATGTGGGGAGGAAGATAGAGGTCCTGCACAGTTAGGTAACCCACCCAGAGTCACACAGCCAGGAAGCAATAGGACCTGCATCCAACAGCCTGGCTCCGGGTCCTTACTGTGTGCACAGCCATCTCTCTGTCCTGCAAGGTGGTCGCCACTGTCTGCATTTCACAGCTGTGGACACCGAGGCTCTGATGTTTAGCGATGGGCTCAGCGTGGCAGCGTTGGTGAGTGGTAGAGCCGGGCTGTGAACTGACCCCAGGGGAGGCTCGTGTCTGACTCAGGATCCACCCCGTGTCCTGCTGTCATTGTGATCTGTGGAATCACCTGCAAGTGCATCTCTCTACGATGTAAAATGTCACACAGCAGGTGCTCACGCAATGTCATTTCACTCAACTTCATCTGAACACTGAGGGAGAAATGATGATGCTGATGAGAAAACAAACCCATTCCCGGCTGAGGCCACTGTCTGTGTGGAGTCGGCATGCTCTTCCCATGTCTGTGTGGAATTTTTCTGGGTACTTCAGTTTTGCTTACCCCCCAGAGATGTGCACGTCAGGTGGACTGGGCGTCTGTGGGCCCAGTGTGAGTCGGTATGGGTGTGGTGAGTGCACGCTGCATCGGCGTGACGCCCTGCCCAGGGTCAGCTCCCACCTTGCACCCTGGGCTGCCGGGATAGGCTCCAGCCTCCTGCGACCCTGAGCTGGAATAACTGAGTAATTAATTATGTTATTTTCTTTTATTAACTTTTCTTAAGGGTATGTAAAGTTCACATTTATTTCACTGTTTAATATTAGAAGCACTTTGGTTTTTATTTAGAAGTCCAGTGATGTCTTCATGACTAGATATGCACCATAGGCACTTAAATTACTTATGTCAATTAATCTATGGTCAAATTAGTTTTCTTGTACACTGTTTCACTGGAAGTCAGGATTTCCAAGAAACTATAGAGAACTTTTAATGAGGCTTTACTGAAATTCACACATAATACATTTGTGCACATTAATATCTTGATTTCACACCGTCACTTGCACGCCTTCTTCTAAATTTGTACTCGTGTTTGCTGGAGGAGCCGTTCTGGATAACAGTTGGAGCTCGGTGCAGACGGGCCTTAGGATGCATTCACAGTCATGGAGCTCCTGAGTTCTCCTCCTGACCACGTGCCCATGGAGGGCGCTAGACCAAGGGACAGGTGTGGCAAAGCCAGGCTGGCTGCAGCCTCCACCTGTCTAGGAATCCCAGCTTGCAGCTGTTCTTGAAGCTAGTGCTTTTTGGGCAAGTTTCAGATTATAACTTTGGTATTGCAATGATAGCAAGCTTCCCTTTGACTCCTCAACACCACCCCACCACCCCAACACACACACACACACACACACACACACACACACACACACATATTCCTGTAACATAATCAGGAAAACCAGAGATTGAACCAAAACTCCAAAGCACTGGCAATTAAGGTTTCAGATTAATTGTTTGCCAATGACCTCAGGAAATGTCCCTTCACCTTAGAGTGGTTGAGCTGATGTGAGAAATAATTAGTTGCTGGCTTAGATATCTGCAGTCAGTAGAGAGACAGTGAGGAAGGAGACCCCTCAAACTTCAGGAACCTCCTCAGCACCTTACACTTTTCCAAAGATTCAGGGGGCAACCAGCTGGAGGTCTCCTCTACTGTGAGGCGCCCAGCCCTGCTCCTCTCCCTCACTGCAAGTGCAGACCCAGACCTCAGAGCTCCCTGTAGCTCCTGGGATAGGCTGGGGCAGAGGAGAGGAGGTGGCCTCAGTGTTAGTGTCCTGGGTCCTGCTCAGGAGGAAATCAAAGGGATCCCTCAGAAGTGGGCAAACGGTAGGTCTGGAATGAGTGTGGTAAATGATTACGGGAATGTTTTGCAATAAGTAAGTAGAAACAAAGGAGGTGGAAATAACATGACTGATTCCTTTCTCTTTACAACAGCAACAAAAAATCAAATACCTATGTATAGCTGTAACAAAAATGTGCAGACCCATGAAACTATAAAACTTTATTAGAATAAGAGAAATTTGGAAATATAAAAATCTAGAGTACAATGTCAACTGTTCCCAGAGGAATTTAGGAGCGTAATACGCTATTTTAGTGAAAATTGTAATGAAACACTTTTAGAGAATTTGATAAAAATGACTTAAGTTCACTGTGAGTAGAGATGGAAAAAAGAAGGAACAGGGGCTGGGGTCACCCCTGTTCTCACCCCAGCACTGGTGTCAGGGTTGATGAAGTCAGGGAGAAATGAGTGGAAAGCAGTCAGCAGGCCCCGGTACCCTGGGGTACCATAGCCAGTACTTCCTCCTCCCACAAAAACGAACAGAGGCCGCCCCTCACAACATCACCACGGATCCCTCAGGCTGGTGGGCAGTGCCAGGAGAAGGTGCCATCTTCTGGGAGTGGCATTATCCTTTCTGGTTCCTGCCATGTCTCCTAACCATGCAGAAGAGGGTTTGAGCACAATGGCCTTGGCTGCCCCCAGGGATTCCTCAGAGGAAAGTGGGTTTGGGGCTGAGGTCTGAGTGGACAGAGGAAATAACTGGCCAGAAGCCAAGATCTCGCCTAGGCCTTATAATCTGAGTGGTGCCCAGGAGGAGTGAGGTGGGGCTTCGAGCCCCCCTGACAGAGCCACCTCTGTGAGGCCTGGATTGTGGCCCAGCACGTCCCTATGGAGTAACCTGCACTCTGGGTCCAGTCAGTTTGTGACCAGCAGGACAGTGGTAGGTGGAATACACCACTGAGCCTTCTTAAGCCCCAAAGAAAGGTGGAGAAATCATTCCTGTGCTTCCAGGCGGAGCTCTGGGCCAAGCCCATAGACTCTCTGGTCACTCTTGCTCTGAGTATGGCCTTGAGCTTGGTGTGTGACCCGGGGCAGGCAGGGTGAGGGTGCTGCGATGTGAAGCAGCCCCAACTCTGTGCCACAAGGAGAGAGAGAGGCTGTCTGGAGAAAGAGAAAGAGACTCAGCTCTAGTGCTCTGAGGCTTTGGGACCAGGGTTCTCCCCTTCAAGGAAGGCAGCTTGTCAGAGGCAGCATCAGAGCTGAGGCTGAGGTTCAGGATGGCTGGGCTTGGGCGTGCAACATGGAGAGGGGAGAAGCAGAGCCCTCAAGGCAGAAAGCGAGGGAGGGTACCAGGGCACAACCAGCTCTTCTAGCAGCAGGGCTGTGACTGCCTGAAAGCGGGGTGTGTGGAGCCCAGAAGCCTGACAGGGGATGGTCTGGCATGCAGCCTGGGAACAGGGACTGGATCCTGCCGGCAGTGCAGAACACCTCTGGAGGGTGTGAGCTGGGAGGGAAGATGGTCCTGGGAGGGCTGGATTTGGGGATGGGCGGAGCCAGGGAGAGCAGGCAGACACACTTGGGTTGTACTAAGAAGGAAGCCTGAAGCCCTGAACAGATAGCAGGAGCACAATCAGGCATGGATGAGGATGGACAGGCAGCTGCAGACACAGGTGACTCAGGACAGAGTCTGAGGGGGCACAAGGGGAAGGTGAGCATCATCTTGGATGTGGACCAGCAGGGCAGGGGCAGGAGCGGGCAGACCCCAGGGCAGGGCCTAGAGGGAAGAAGGGCCCCTCTCAGGAGGAGAGAGACCATCTCTATAACGGAATCCAGCATTTGGGGCATTTGTCACTCACATGCCCAAGGGGAGGCTTTATGTGTGAATGGCAGGTTTAAGCAAGCTCAAAGTCTGCACGCTCTGTGGAGCACCTGTGAGGACTGGAGGGTTTCCTGGGGACTATCAGGCTGAGACTGGCCTGGCAGGGGACCCCTGGGATTCCAGGTAGCCTAGGAAGAGTAGCCTTGAGTAGAGAAGGACCTGAACAGGCCACACATCAAGGAAGCCACAGGCACTGATGGGCTGCTGCCCCTGCCGTGGACTGTGAGCGTGATCAGCCTACATCACAGATGAGGAGGTCAAGGCAAAGTGTCATGTCCATGGGCATCCTGGGAGCCTGCTGCAGCTCGCCAGCCGCAGATGCTGAGGGGAAGCAGTTACAGTCCTCGGGCATGCAGAGCAGGGACAGGCACACCTACAAGGACATAGCATTTCCCACAACAGGCTCGGCCTTCTGCCAGGACATGAACGGAAAGGCCAAGCAGGGTGGTCACTTTAGCTGGGATCATGGATAAGGGGCTTCCTGGAGGAGGCCACTCTGGAGCTGAATCTGAAAATGTGAGTGGTGGTTCACTGGGTTAGGAAGAGCGTTCTAGAAATGGAGGACAGCTATGCAAATTGAAACGGGAGAGCTGAGAAGCTCTGAGAAAGACTGTTATCTAATTGGCTGCCTGATAAGCCCCCAAGAGAATAGCCTTAAGGAAACTTAACAATTCTTGAAAAGGCCAGGCAGGCTCTCAGTTTGCTTTCCTGCATACAAGATGGCTTCTGAAGCTCCAGCCATCACACTCACACTCCAGGCAAAAACAAGAAGGAAAAAGGGAAAGCAACCTTCTTTAAAGCACTGCCCAACAATTCCTATTATATTCCAATTGCCAGAACGCATTCACATGGCCATGTTGCTCAGCAAGGGAGACCGGGAAAATGTCATTTTAAGCTGAGCACATTGCCCCTCTCTCTCTCTCTCTCTCTCTCTCTCTCTCTCTCTCTCTCTCTCTCTCTCTCTCTCTCTCTCTCTCTTTTAAGTTCTGGGATACATGTGCAGATTTGTTACGTAGGTAAACATGTGCATGGTGGTTTGTTGCACCACACTCTCTCTCTTAACAAAAGCAGGCCTCGTTAGTAAGGCAGACAGGAAGAATGGACTTGGAGTGACCAATGCGTGTTTGGTATTGCTGGGCCCATTTGAGAGATGGGAAAGCCATTCCCAAGGGGCTGAGTGACTTGCCTGAGGTTGGAGGCTAGATTGAACCTCCGTCTCTTTGACCTTACTTAGAGTGACCCTGACGGCCTTTTAGAAAGGCCCTGATCAAGTTTTCAGACAGGCTTGCCCCGATCATGGGCCTAAGAAGGCAGCAGAGGGAAAGCATCGCAGAGAGAGAGAAGACAGTCACTGTGTGGCTTGCAGCTGTGTGGGTGATGGGCTGGCTATGCTGGTGTGTGCCCAAGATGAAAGCAAAGCAGCTGCTTCTGCAAGACAGAGTTTGCTCTTCCTACAGGCCTGGATCATCCTCTTCCCAAACCAAGGGAACTGCGGAGCTGCTGCCTTTGCAGCTTATCACCCACCCAAGGGTCCCTGGAGCCAGCCTTGAGGGCGTGGTGTGCGCTCATCCCTTCCACAGGCTCACTAGAGCCTTCCGGGCCATGCTGGGGCACAGAGGGAACTGGGGCCTCCTCCTGGCTGCCAGGGGGAAACAAGTTCAACCGCAGGGCTGAGGGAGTCCAGTCAGAGACTCAGCGCTGCCTGGAGAGGCAGGGCGGACTTTTGGTCCTTGAGCTGAGTCTGGAAGGAGTCGTCCAGGCTGGAGGCAGCACACAGGGGAGAGAGGAGGAGCACAGCAAGGCCCATCCCGTGGGTCCAGATGGGTCCTGGCCCCACCCCTTGAGCCAGGCACCCACAGCCTTCTGAGCCCAATTCCAGTGCCATCACAGTGACCTTCTCTCTCTTTTCTTCCCCACAGGGGAGGTGCCTCAGCTTAGGCCTTGCACAGTCCCAATGCGTACAGGCTCCCTGCTGCCCGGAGATCTGCTTTCCACTCAGCCAGGAGTTCCTTCCCCCACCACAGGCTCCCTGCAGCCCAAGGATGTGCCTGAGACACAGCCAGGAATGCCTCGCCCTTAAACAGGCTCCCTACCGCCCAAGAATGTGCCTGAGACACAGCCGGGAATGCCTCGCCCTTAAACAGGCTCCCTGCAGCCCAAGGATGTGCCTGAGACACGGCCAGGGGTACTTTTCCCAAGCACAAACTCTGTGCAAACCAAAGAGCTGCCTTCCACCCAGCCGGAAGTGCCTCCCCCTCACCTGCTCCTCCAGGTGTGGCCACCTCCCCGCTAGGTGCTCCAGGCCTCCCTCCAGGATGCTGCCACTGCTCCCCCCACTGTTCGGGCACAGTGCACAACCCCCTTTGTCTGTCCCTCCCTCAGAGCCCAACTTCTAAGACACCAAACACCCAAGATTAACAAGCTTTTGTTACTGAACTGGAAATATACATCAAGTCTTCATTTGTCGGTCAAAGGAGTTGAATTCTTGCTGATGAACCAAGAGTTTGTCACCAGCAAGCTTATCCTCTGAGTGAGCTGGATTTATAACTGCGCCTGATGGGACACAGCGCCCTGGTGCCGTGGGGATGCCAGGCATGGATGCATTCCATTCCCAACAGCCCTGACTTTATCTGTCACCAAGGGGTGGGACACATGAGTTCTAAGGCCAAATTCTCCAAATTCTCTGTTTAAAAAGCCCAAAAACTCTTTTTTTTTTTTTTTTTTTTTTTTGAGACAGATTCTTGCTCTGTCACTCAGGCTGGAGCGCAGTAGCACAATCTCAGCTCACTGCAACCTCCGCCTCCCAGGTTCAAAGAATTCTCCTGCCTCAGCCTCCTGAGTAGCTGGGACAAGAGGCACATGCTAACACTCCCAGCTAATTTTTTTTAAATATTTTTAGGAGAGACAGGGTATTACTGTGTTAGCCATGATGCTCTCCGTCTCTTGACCTTATGATCTGCCTACCTCGGCCTCCCAAAGTTCTGGGATTACAGGCATGAGCCACCGTGCCCAGCCCCAAAAAGTCTTTGAAACATGAATTCAATGTTGTGTCTCCCTCCCTACCTTTTCTTTTCTTTTTCTTTTTTTTTTGAGACAGAGTCTTGCTCTGTCACCCAGTCTGGAGTACAATGATGCGATCTTGGCTTACTGCAACCTCTGCCTTCCGGGTTCAAGCAATTCTCCCGCGTCAGCCTCCAGAATAGTTGGGATTATAGGCGCCTGCCACAATGCCCAGCTAATGTTTGTATTTTTAGGAGAAATGGGGTTTCACCATACCAGTCAGGCTGGTCTCGAACCTCAAGCCATCCACCCCGCTAGGCCCCCCAAAGTGTTGGGATTACAGGCATGAGCCACCGCACTCGGCCCTTCCATAACTTTTTGAAAGGAAAAATACTTGCATATCTCATTACTTGTACTCCTCGTCTTTTTTCCCCTGGTTTCCATTTTTTGGCTACTCAAATTCTGAATGTGTCCCAGAAGAAGGTGAGGCCCTTTCTGGAAAGGTAAATTATCTTCCCAGATTCCCCACAGTGTCCCCAAGACCAGGTAAATTTCAGGGAATCCTCCTCATCTCACCAGAAAAGACAGACTTCCCTCCTTAGTCATTTGTCCCCATAGAAGGAGCCACAGCCTCAACAGAGATGAGTGTCAACAAACAGTGTCCTACTGCCCAGAATGTGAATGTGGGGGCTACATGATCTCCCAAGGTGCCACCCACACAGGCCACGGACACCCCACGTGGGACCCCTGAGTACATCAGGAGGAGACCCCTGGGGGGCCATGGCTGAGGCTGGCCAGTCATCCCTAATCCATCTTGAGAGTGAAGAAACAGTTCTCCACTTTGCCATCTACTGAAATGCAGTATTTGTGCTTTTCCATAGAAATTCTGAAAGACAAGTTAAAAATATACCAGGTTTGGATTTTAAACAGTATTGACTAATTTGACGGTGAAACCACACTGTCCCCCCTCCCATTTTTCTTGTTTAAGGTTTCAATGGAATTGCTGGCATATGTGTGTAGGGCTTTGGGAGCTTTCTCTAGGTCATATGACTTTGATCTTCAATGTCTTCATCCTGGGGAGTTACTCTTTCTCCCCCATCTCTGTCACACACCCTCCTATCCTGCCCAGCCTGGGCTCTGCACCTGGATCCTGCCAGCTGCCATGATGGGAAGTGAGCCTCCCCTGCCCTTCCCCAGCCTCTCCCCTCCATGTCGGCACATGTGTCTCCCAAGCTGGTTATGAGAGGCTTTTCCAGGCACGCAATGCCCTGCACAAGGCATCCAGAGAAATAAGCCAGGTCAATGTTGAGGAAATGGAAGAGGGCGCTAGAGCCCCTGGGGGTGGACGGGACTCAGTCGTTTGATTCTTCCCCATGCGGAGGTTCATCTCCCGAGCAATTGTGGGTACTCAAGAGAACAGGCTGCCCCTCCACACTTCACTTCTCAACATTCTTCCTGGAATGGGATGCCTGGCTTCATCAACTTTTTGTCTTGCATTGTTTTTTTAGAGAGCTTTTGTTTCATAAAACAAAACACCTCTATAAATAGAGAGATTTTTCACAAAGAACTGAGTGTTCTCACCTCATTGCTGGACAGGTGGAGATATTTATGATAAGGGCACCAGATGCATGGCCTGTGTGTGGCCCAACAAGATAGGGTCCAGAGAGACGGGTTGCATGCCCTTGCAGGTGTGGGAAGGGACAGACATACAGACAGTGTACCCTCTGGCTCTAGACTGCCTGGTCAGCTGCCTGATGCCTACAGCCATATATGAATGTGCCCAGAGCAGCCAAGGGAACCTTACAAGGTACCTGGGACTGTGTATCTCTCAAGACTCAGGGAGAAGATGTTCATTGTACTCATGACACCAGGAAGAGTGTGGGGAAGCTTTCATTAGGCAGAAAGGGAGTTGAGATAACATGAACGTGTGGAGAGGTTTTATGTCTTCTGTGTTACCCATGTGGAAACATGAAGATGTTGCTTCCCATCCCTGCAACTCTGAGACCCCTATAGGATGAAATGTACGTGTAATTTCATGAAGAACTTTATGAGATCCTGGTGAAATCAACATACCTCTTTCTTAATGGGGATTAACAGCCTTTGGAGTTTAGCCAATATGAACTCAAGCTAAGGCCTGTCATCCTTCCTCATCCCTCAAGAGAAGAGGTCATAGATTAAGAAGGTGAGCTCAGAAGACATTAGAGGGAACCCTCCCAGGCTTTCTATGTTGAACAGTGACAGCAGGGACAGGCAGAGGGAATATGCCAGCCATGCTTCCATGGGCCACTCCTGCCCTGCCTCCTCCTCTCCAGATGAGTTGATCCCCCAGGTTTGGCATCAATCAGGGGTTCCTCATCCTAGTGAAGGGAGAAAAGGGGCACTGCCCTTGGTCACGCAAATGGGCTGAGTTGCAGGTGGACTGCTTTTTTAAATTTTAGATTCAGGGGGATCACGTGCATAATTGTTACATGGGTATATTGTGTACTGGTGGAGATTGGGCTTCTAATATACCCATCACCCAGATGCTGAACGCTGTTTCCAATAGATAGTCTTTTAACGCTCATCCCCTTCCCACCCTCTCCCCTTTCGGAGTCACCAGTGTCTCTTATTTCTATTTGGACGTCCGTGTGTACCCATTGTTTAGTTCCCACTTATAAGCAAGAACCTGCGGTATTTGATTTTCTGTTTCTGAGTTAGTTCACTTAGAATAATGGCCTCCACCTCCATCAAGTTGCTGCAAATAACATGATTTCATTTTTTGGGCTGCATAATAAATAAAATGTGGTATCTATGTGTATATAAATGTATAAATAAAATGTGATATCTTTATGTGTCTATGTGTATAGATAGCACATTTTATTTATCTGGTCAGCCTTTGATGGGCACTGATTGGTTCCATGACTTTGCTATTATGAATAGTGCTGAGATAAATGTGTGAGTGCAGGTGTCTTTTTTATATAATGATTTCTTTTCCTTTGGATAGATACCCAGTAGTTGGATTACTGAGTAACATGGTAGTTCTGTTTTTAGTTCTTTGAGAAATCTCCATGCTGATGTCCATAGATGTTGAATTAATTTACATTCCCACCATCAGTGAATGAACATTTCCTTTTCCTTCCATCCACAACAACATCTGTTGTTTTTTTGGCTTTTTAAAAATACCATTCTGACTGGTATAAAATGATATCTCGGTGTGGTGCTAATTTGCTATTATCTGATAATTAGCGAGGTTGAGAAATTTTTCATGTGTTTGCTGCTTATAGTTCTTTTGAGAAACGTCTATTCATATCCTTTGCTCAATTTTTATTAAGATTGCTTGTGTTTTTCTGTTTCATTATTTGATTTCCCTATATATTCTGGATATTAGTTCTTTGTTGGAAGCATAATTTTCCAATATTTTCTCCCATTCTGCAAATTGTCTGTTTACTCTGTTGATAATTTCTTTTGCTGTAGACAAGCTTTTCCGTTTAAGTTCTATTTGCCTGTTTTTGTTTTTGTTACATTTGCTTTTGGGGTCTTTGTCATAAATTATTTGCCTATGCTGATATCCAGATTTTTCCTAGGACTTTTTCTAGGATTTTTATGGTTTCAGGACTTGTTTGGGTCTTTAATCCATCTTGAATTAATTTTTGTTCACAATGAGATAGGAGTCCAGTTTCTCTCTTATGCATGTGGCTAGTCAATTTTTTCCACAACCACTTATCCAATAGGGTATCTGCCCTTTCCTCATTGTTTATTTTTGCTGACTTTGTCAAACATCTGTTAATTGTAGGTATGTAGCTTTGATTTTCAGGGTTCTCTGTTCTGTTCCATTGATCTACATGTCTATTTTTTGTACTAGTACTATGCTGTTTTAGTTACTGTGTCTTGCAGTATAGTTTGAAGTCAGGCAACGTGATGCCTCTGGATTTGTTCTTTTTGCTTACAATTACTTTGGCTAATTAGGCTTTATTTTGTTTAACATAAACTTTAGAATTGTTTTTTCTAGTTCTGTGAATAATTATGTTGAAAATTTGACAAGAATTGTGCCGTATCTGTAAATTGCAATATGGTCATTTTAACAATATCAATTATTCCAATCCATGAGCGAGCGTGAGAGGTTTTTCCATTTGTGTCATCCACCATTTCTTTCATCAGCGTTTCGTAGTTACTCTTGTGGAGATCTTTCACCTCTTTAATTAAATGTATTCCTAGGTAATTTTTTTTATTGTGGCTATTGCAAATGAGATTAATTCTTAATTTGGTTCTCAGCTTACATATTATTGGTGTATAGAAATGCTACTAATCTTTGTACAATGGTTTTTTATCTCATAAAACTTTACCAAAGTTGTTTATCAAGTCTAGGAGTCTATTGAAAGGGTCGTTAGGGTTTTCTAGGTACACAATCATGCCATCA